AGTCCCGGGTCCGTGGAAGCCCCGTCCCGCCCCCAGCCGGGAGCCAGCAGCGGTGTGCATCCCGGTCCTCCAGGATTTCTGCCTTCCAGTCCAGCCACCGGGCATCTAGCCGCCCTCTCCCTACCTCCCGTGTTGCCTAAAGAACCCGGCGCCAGGATGCCCAGTCCTAGACTCCAGGAGACCCTCCCCACGGTATTCAGATACCCAGACGCCAGACTCCGCGTGAAAGTCTCCCCCAGGGATCACCCCACCCTCTAAATCCCCCTGTCTCCAGGCCCAGGCCACAAACTCCAGGGAACTGTGCCCACACTGCCGTGGACGTGGAACTGTACCTCCAGCCTTCTCTACCATCCAACGTTTTTCAGGTGCAAATTTGTGGGTCCCTCTGGTTAGCTCCCTAGGACTTTTATGTATTTATTTTTGGGTTAATCCTCACTTGATATTTTTTCCATTGATTTTAGAGAGAGTGGAAGGGAGGAGGGAGGGGGAGGGAGAGAAACATCGATGTGAGAGAGACACATTGATTGGTTGCGTCCCACACCTGCTTCGACCAGGGTGGGGGGAGCCAACCTGCAAGCCAGCTATGTGCCCTTGACTGGAATCAAACCTTCGACCCTTCAGTGCATGGGCCGACACTCTTCTGCTGAGCCACCCTGGCCAGGGCCTCCATAGGACTTTTGCCTCAGTACCTAGGAGGCNTGCATGGGCCGACACTCTTCTGCTGAGCCACCCTGGCCAGGGCCTCCATAGGACTTTTGCCTCAGTACCTAAATATCTCATCCCCAGGAACCCACACACACCCCAAGATTATTTCCAAACCCAGAAATCCACTGGGGCAAGTATTTCTGCAGAGAATGGTGATTTAATAAATATGGGATAGAGGGGAAAAAAATATGTACAGGCAGGGGGGATGGGAAACCTGAGATCCTAGGAGATTTATGGTTTATGGAGTAAAACATGGGCAGGATCCTGCCCAACTTGCGCCTGGGGTAGCCAGAATCCCAGACCCTCATTCCTTCCTTCCTCAGAATCCAGCTTGTTTCTGTGACACCCTGCAGCCCGGGCCCCCAGCCCCCTTCTCCTGAACTAGGACATCCTAGCCCCCATCCCTCCCCTCCTTCAAGGAAGCAGGATCCCGGCTCCCACCTCACCTCTCTCCCCCAGCGCTGCCAGCCTCTCCTCCTACAAGGCCCAGGAGTCTGGGGCCCCAGCCCTGTACTCTCCCAGGGGTCCAGGAATCTGGGTTGAAGTCTGGATCCAGAACTTGAGTCTGGCTGGGCTGGGGTCTCGGCCCCCTACAGCTTAGCTTTCCCTAGTGGGCCCGGATGGCAGCCTCATTCTGGATGGCAGCCTCATTCTCGAAGAGCAGGTTCTCATATATGACCCCCTTCTTGGCTGGCACGGGGGACAACTGCTGGAGAAACCGGAGGATGCACTGGTGCAGGAAGATGTACTGGGCCTGGAGAGGGGCACCAGGTGTGAGGGATGCCGTCCCGAGCCTTGGCCTGCTCTCCCTCGGGGACCCCCCCTCCCCGTGCCGCCCATCCCCTAAGGGCCCCAGTCACCTCAGTCTGCACCATCAGGGGCCGACTTTCCCGCATCTTCTTCACAAAGCTGAAGGGCCCCACGACGCCCTCACACTCCAGCTGCCGGAGCAGGACGTCCAGGGCGATGAGGGTGCCCGTGCGGCCCACACCAGCGCTAGGCAGGGCCAGGGAGGGGTCAGGCCACAGGAAAGGGTTTTGAGACAGAGAGCAGGGATCTGTTTTTGGAGCACTCGGTGATTTAGGCTATTATTCAGCGAGACACGGTTCCGGGGGGACACAGTGTAAGTGGGGGGCACTTAGTGAAGGAGAAAGTAATGCCAGAGGACTCTGTGTGGAGTCCTTTCTACCTGCCAGGCCCCGTTCCAAGTTCCCACACCTGAGAAGTAGGAACGACTCGCAGGCCAATGTTACAGATGGGGAAACGGAGGCCGGGCCAGGTAAAGCCACTTGGCTAGTAAGTGACAGAACCGAGGTTCACACATGGGAAGATGCACTCCCAAGATGATAATTAATTTTTTTTTTCCCATGGGGATGTAAAGCACAGCACAGGGAATATAGTCAATAATATTGTAATAACTACGGATGGGGCCAGGTGGGGACTTGAAATATTGGGGGGAATCACTGTGTAAAGTATATGACTGTCTAACCGCTATGCTGTACCCCTGAAACTAAAACAAAATAATAGTGAATGTGAACTGTAATTAAAAAATAGAATTTAGCCCGGCCGGGCGTGGCTCAGCAGTTGAGCATCAACCTGGGATCCAGGCGATCGGGGTTCGATTCCCAGTCAGGGCACAGGCCCGGGTTGTGGGCTCGATCAATGACTCTCTCATCATTGATGTTTCTCTCTCTCTCCCTCTCCTTTCCTCTCTCTGAAATCAATAAAGATATATTTTAAAAAATAATAAAATAAAATAACAAAACAGAGTTATGACTGGCCAGCCGGCGTGGCTTGGTGGTTGAGCATGAACCCATGAACAAAGAGGTCTCCGCTTCGATTCCCAATCAGGGCAAATGCCTAGGTTGGGACTCGATCCCTTTGGTGGCCCCCCTATCACCTCCCCTTCGCTGCTGCTCCCCTCTCGTGCCCCCCTCCCTGACCTTCATCCATCCTTCCCATCTTCTCACGGGCACCCTCGTGCTCCAGCTGCCCCCCTGCCCGCCTCCCTCTGTCTCCCCTACAAGTTCCCTGGCACCCAGATAACCCGGTTTTCTGAGTCTAGGACGGGGTCGCTGGGGTCCTCACCTGCAGTGCACAATGGGGGGCCCTCCCTCTGGGGTCTGGTCCAGCCACCGCCGGAGCATCTTCCAGAAGGCCAGCAAGGGGTCCGGGGAGTGGGGGACGCCGTGGTCCGGCCAGGCCACGTAATGAAATTGTCGCACGGACAGGGTCTTCTGCTCTTGCGTCTAGACCGAGGGTGGGTCGGGAGAGGGAGAGCTCAGAACCTGGGCAGGGGCTGGGGAGGGTTGGTAGGGGAATCTGTGGTCCCTTGGGAGGCTGATATAAGGATAGGGTTCCCGGGGAGCTGTGGGGAGGGGACTGCCCAGAAGGCCCCGGGGTGGGGTGGGAATGAAGGAATTGAGGGCCATGCGCACAGAGCTGGCAGGGTGGGGGGACTCACATGTCGCAGCTTCAGGTCTCGGACTGTCCAGTTCTCCATCACCTTCTCACTCTCCAGGGTCACCTGTAGGTGCCCGTGGGTGCAGGGCTGGGTGTCTAGAGGCCAGTAATGCTCACACTTCACCTGGGGGAGGGAGGTCTACAGGGTCAGAGAACAGGAGGCCCAAAGAACCTGCCCGGAGGCCCCTCCACATGGTGGCTCTTGTATTCAGGGCCTGGGATCCTCAGGCAGCCAGGATTAGATCCATCCTAGACAGGGCTCCTCAAGGCCACGGTCACGGGGATCAGCCTCCACCCACAGGTGGACACTGGGGGCAATGGGGGAGGTTGGGGTCCTTGGGAGAATCAGTGAGGTGGGGGTCAGGGTGGACACTGGAACCAGCATCCGGGGCAGGTCTCGGAATGGAGGTTGGGGGTCGGTACCCCAGAGCCCTGCCCCACCGCAGGCATCCTCTCACCCGGCCCAGCTCCACGCAGTTGGTCAGCATGACCAGGGTGCGGCTCTGCTGCTCCCACACCAGGCGCCAGAAGTCGCCCACCGTCTGGGGCAGGGGGCCCTGGGTCGCAATGAACTCCTGGGGGCTCCAGAGACCCTGGTGGAGGGAAACGGGCAGATGGTGAGCCCCCCCCCAGCTTCTCAGGCAGCCTCAGCACCTCCCAGCTCCCAGTCCCGACCTACAGGCATGAAGCTGGCGTTGATGTAGTCAGAGCCCGGCTCCCCTCCAAGGGGCTTCAGGGGCACACGGGACCAGTCGTCTAGGGGAGAGGCCGGCATGGCAGAGCGGAGAGAGGGCGACAGAAGTCACGCTGAGGTGCAGACCGACACGGGGAGCTGGGAGAGGGGCTGGGGCCTCAGCTGGAAGGACTGACTGGGGCGGGAGCCCGCGGCTCCCGGGGGAAGGGACAGGCCCTGGACCGGGGACAGGCGAGGTCAGCCGCAGGGAGACTCACAGGGCAGCACGTTCCTGTAGCGGTTTTTGGCGCTGTTCTCGGGAGCCGAGGCCACCGCCTGAGACTGGCCATGGCCCTCCAGGGCCAGGTTCTGGGGTGCAGGCGGAGGAGGGGTGCAGGGATGTAAGGATTCCTCCATTTTCCCCGAAGGACACCCCCG